ACAAGTTCGAGCTCCAATTGAAAAAAAAAAATTGATGTACAATTAGTTTAGCAGTTGGCTTCACTCAAAATTAGGTAACGTCCATTGTTTTTAAAGTAGTATAGTTACCGGGGGACAAAGAAAGCGGCAGAGCGAGGGAGGAGGCGGGTGGCGGAGTCGAAGTTCGCGGCGGAGAAACGGACGGCAGCGACGGGAGGTTCGATCATCAGCATCCTTATGGCGATTGCAATGTGTGGTTATCTTCTAAGCTTCCATTTTAGAAGTGTTTAGTATTCTACTCTTTATCGGCGTTTCTACTTTTGATTCTGCGATGGATATTTCTATGGATTGATCACGTTTATACTTATCGTAGTGCGATTTTGGCATATTCCAAATATTCTCCTTCGCAGCTACTGTTCAAAACTTCAAATTGCATAGCATGAGGTTATATTTTTATTACGCCCCTGTTTGACACTCATTTTTTCTCGTTCTCATTTTCATTTTTTTCTCTTTCTTCATTTCAACCACACATTCTATCAATAAAATAATACTACACATAAATCCAAAAATTTTCATTACTTTTTAACCACACATTCTTCCATCAATCACTATCCCAGAATTTTTATTCCTATTTTTTGTATTGTAATAATGGGGATGTTTGAAAACGTGACGTTTGGAGGAAGAGTAAAGAGTTTGATGCGATTTCAAGTCATTTGTTGTACATGTCCTGCTTAATCTTTGAAAGTATCAAACTTTTAGCAGAAATTGATTATCGTGGTTTCTAAATTTTATCGCTTAGACTACTTGCGTTCCCATTCAATTTGTTTTTCACTTACAAGTTTTTGAACTATCAATTTTCAAACAGGTCAATCAACTTATTAGAAACCTTTCAATTTTTTAATCAAACTATTTGTATCCTCTTCAAGTAAGAGAATTTTCGCCCTAAAAAAGTATGTTATCATTGTCAACCATTATAATATGTTGAAATGATGTCGAGAGGAAACATTGTGCTTACAAATACACCACACTCCTTCAATATTTAAAATCTTGCAATTCCTAAAATTGTGAAGAAAACAAAATTTATTTTGTAAAAAAGGAAAAAAAAAAAAGTTTGCAAGAGTACAAACAGACATGTCACTATTAAATTATCGTTGCGTGTACATCTTTAATTCTTTAATGCGAGTAGTTAATTTCATAACATAAAGTATAAATACAGCTCCATTTTATGGAAACACGAGATAGTGTAAAGGAATTTTTGTTTAAAGAGGAGGGCAAAATGGAGAGTGAGGGTAGAGTGTTCGAAAAAGAATGATGCTAAACAACACAAGTGGTGTCTAGCATAAGTTTAGATGATAGTGAGCTTCTACCTTGATTTGCCCAATAAAATTGTGAGTAATGCATTTTCAATTCAAAGTTGGTGGACATCCAATACCATGGTACTACCACTTAGCATTAATCACTCAAAAAAGGTACACTAGTCCAAACCACACGTTTTTTGTCGCATCGCAGCAATTAAATTTATACAATGCGTAACAACTCTTATGTGACCATTTGAATTTCCGAGTGCACAGAATATCCATGTATTGCATTTCTTTTCTGCTAAAGCTTCTTTGATCCATTCCTTTTATTTCTCTAGTTCCCTTTTATTCTTCTTTTGAGCATTTCCAAAAGATTGACAACAAAGTCCAAAATGAAATTTAACTTGTAAGCACAAGCACCCTTAAATATATTATCGGTGATGAGAATTATATCAATCATCAGACACGTTAGGTTCAATACCTAACATTTTCTATATCTACAGCTATAGCAATCTGGACAAGATTTGATGATATGTATATTCTTTATCGTAATTTATAGCCATTAAATTCATTTTTCCATCATAAATTATTCATGTGCCTTGAGGTGACCTAATACCATTGAGAAATCCCGATTCGTCATACCTTTCTAAACGTAAGATTTCAACTAATGAATCGCTAATATTCTAAACATGCATAAAAAGATAGAAAATAAAACGGAATAGTTATTCAAAACAACTTAGCATATCATACATAAATCACCATAAAGACAATGATAATAGACCAACAAAGAAACAAGGGAAAATCAGCAAGCAACATATCCCAACTAATATTTCCAAGTTTGTTTTAGCGTATATTAGTCAAGTGTTTATAAGCATAGAGATAATCATTGGCCGATATAGGGGGACTAGCCCAACCCAGTCCCAACCCTTTTCAGATTTTTATGTGTAATTTTTTTATAATTATTATTATTTTTTTTTTACATATTAACCGACTTAATTTTTTTTTAAATTTAGGCATTGATCCACTCCTAAAATAAGTGACTGATAAATTGGACAGTGCTTGTAGATATCTCAAAATATGTGGATAATAAATAATTTGTCTTTTTAGTAAGTGTTTATAAACACTTGTCAAATATATGCTAAAACAAATTTGGACCACGTGTGTCCTCGTGGGACCCAGCTACAAGAAAATCCTAGAAGCTGTAAGATTCGGGGTGGAAATGAAGTTTAGGGATTATTTTTAACTTTCGGGTTTGGTTGGTTTAGGATGAATCCTAAGATAATTACAAGGTAGTGAAAAATTTTCGCCATTATAGAATTGGTTTGCATGAGAGAATATATTATAAAGGTGCATAGTCTCAAGATTGATTATTGGAAGAGGAGGACTTTAGGGCATACCCATAGATAAATATTAGTAAGCTTGTGTCGAGGAGATATGGTTAAATTTAGATTTGATTTTCTCTTGACACGGAGACAAGATTTTATGAAAAAATATAGCTTCCTTTTCATGGGGTTGGTAGTCTAGGCATGTTGTTGGGGGATGCCTTAGTGTGCTTAGTAAGTTTATAGACTCGTGGGGATTTGTTGTTTTTGAAGGAGCGTGGATTGATTCAGATTAAAGTGGTTAGTTTATACTTCCACGATCCCTATAAGTACATGGACTCATCACCACTATACATGCAAAAAAAAAAAAAAAGGTAAATGTTATTATTTGGATCGACTATTCTAGTTTACAATCCTAAAGACAAAAATCTAAGGTATCTTGTACTCAATAAGTTTATGCCTGCTTGATGCAAATATTTATGTTGAAAGCTTAGCTTCATGGTTAAAGATGCACTATGGGATAATGCTAGTAACAAGTAGGAAAGTTAATTGAATGATGTTTTTATGTGGTATGTATGGAAATTTTGATCTCATGATACTGAATAAGTGTTGTCTTTCAATGTTTCTTGATTTTTTGTGTTACGTTTTTGTAGACTTACAAAAAATTTATTATTAAAGAATATTTTTATTAGAGAATATTTATTATCAATATAAATGCGACGTCGTCGTCGTCGTCGTCGTTGTTATTATTATTATTATTATTCACTGCAAATCAAAGAATATTATTCACCAAATATTATTGAAAAAGTTGGGAGAGATCGATGGCCCATATTCCCCACTATAACATCCCAACTTGCAACTGTGCCCATAAGTTGGAATGGCTCGATGGTACATCTTACCCTTTTCAAGAATAATGACTTTTGAAAGGTAACAACTTATTTAGCCCCTCTCAATTTAGTAAAATAAATAAATTTTTAGTAAATTTTAATAAAAATTAATGAAATATATGATTAAAAAATTATGGGTCTCATAAAATGTATAGTTAAAAATAAATTTTAAAAAGTGGGAATTGAATAATAACTTAAATTATATAGTTAAACCATAAATTCGGCAGTTATGTAGGATTGACTTGAAACTATGGGCACGTTTGAACCCCATTTTTGGGGGGTAAAATACATTTTGTAATATTAGATTGATGGATAATGTATGGTAAAAAATGAAAGAAAATTTTTTGGGTTGCGTATGATATTATTTTATTAAGAGTAATGTTATTGATCCCCAGTGGGGATGAAAACACAATTTATGTGGTTTTAAATAATATGTTAAATGAAATGTGAAATGATATGACTTATTTAATTTCACATATCATTTAATATTACATTAACGCCACGTAGATTGTGTTTTCATCCCCAGTGAGGATGAATAAGATTACTCTTTTATTAAAGAATGTGTAGTTGAAAAAAAAGAGAGAAAAACGTATTTTGAAAAAAATGGGATCACACAAAAGCTATAATGAAATTATAATTTTAGCCAAACATGAATTTAATTACGGTGGCAAATGAAAGTTGGGCGATCAATTTGAAGTAAATTAAGATTTTAGTGATCAACATGAAATAAATTAATTAGTTAGGTGACCTCTACCAAATCCTCCTCTCCAATCCACCTATATGCTCTCCCTCTTCTAGAGAGTTCTGACTTCTGAATCACAAAGACCTGAGCTGCATACACACGGACGGGATTCGTTTGCTCAATCGTGTATCAATGGCGTCGTTGGATCTGAAGACAAAAGCAAGAGAGGCGTTCATAGATGACCATTTTGAACTCGCCGTTGACCTATACTCTCAGGCCATTGCTTTGAGCCCTAACACAGCCGAGCTTTTCGCCGACCGTGCTCAGGCCAACATCAAACTCCTAAACTTTACTGGTAATGCCTAGAACTTCACTTAAATTACTCTTTCATAGATTATTGTCTGCTCTGGTATTTTTAGTGTTTTCTTTTATTTGCTTAAACTTTGATGTCTTTTTATATCGTCAATTGTGGCAGCTAATCACATGCAAAATAAGTATCTTCCTAATATTATTTATTGAATGTGTGTATTATTGATAATTGAGTACTGGAGTTCAACTTAAAGGTAACTGTGTAGCCCAGCTGTTGGTTACTGTTTTTATATTTAATTTCCGCCTTGTTTTGTCCTTTACATGCTCCCGTAGCATGGTCACTGACCAGCTTGAGAATACCAATCCTGGAATCTAACAGCTCGTTTGAGCTTTGGCCAGATCATATTGTTCATTTGACTTTTGAAGATGAAGAATAGCTGCTTTGAGCGTTTAATTATAGATGGCTTATTTGAGAACACAAACTTTGAAATTCAACTTCTTGATAGAGCTTTAGATGGATGCAATGGCTCTCATTTAAGATATTTGGTTTCTGATACTATATTGAGTCTTGGGGTTCAATCTTAAATATTTGTAGGAATAGGGCTTACCTTTAATGTGTATCATTTATTGAATATGTGTTGTGTATTAAACCTTGGGTAATTAAAATATTTCTTGAAAACGTAGAGAAGTTGATAACAGGAAATTTTCCTATAAAATCTGTGAAAGTGAATGGAGTGTAGTGCTAGTGTATCTGCTGAGTTACAACATTATTGGAGAGTTTGTTGTGCATATAACAAGATTTTGGTTTTTCTGGTCTATTTAACAATTGTTCAATCGTTTCCTTTTTTTTTTCCTTTTATTATCATGTTTTACAAACTTTAATTTTGTGTGGGTGGCGGTTACGTTATTCAATTTTTTGTGGAGCAGAAGCCATTTCTGATGCGAACAAAGCAATTGAGTTGGACCCCTCAATGGCCAAAGCATATCTGCGTAAGGGGTGAGTTCATTTAGTTAATTTTATTAATTTTAGTTGATTGTATTTCATTTTTTATTGTTTTGAAATTGTTAATGATGATGCTAATTGTCATTGCACGCTCTCTTTTCATGTTGCTACTAGATCCTTGCAGCATCAATTTCTGCACCTTATATTGGTGGTTTGACTTTGTCACGCTGTTCGAATAAAAACTGAAGCTGTCTTTGAGGAATATGATATTACTATAATTCTTCACCTGTTAGCTTCCCACGGAAAATAATAGAATCTCCACATATTAAGTAATACTGTGCTGTGATACGCGTAATGCTTAAATTAAAAAAATGTTGTTGCTGACTACTTCAGTTTTAGAGGTGGTTGCAGTAATATGGGATGTATAAGATTGCAATGGTCATTTGGGTTTCTTTCTTAATAAATTTTTTGTTTCTTTTGGCTAATAATTGGTAATGTGATGTGTTATGGGTACTGAATAAATGAAAAAATGCTGTTGCTTGCGACTTCATTTTTATAGGCGATTGCAGTAACTTGGGATGCATAAGATTGAAATGGTCATTTGGTTTTCTTTCTTGATGAGTTTTGTTTCTTTAGGCTAATAATGGGATCACAGTAGTTTGTCTTCATTATATCTTCATAGTTCAACTTTATTTCCTGAATTCTAATTCTCAAACTATCTCAGTTTACATGCATGATTAGTTTACTCTCTATTTTGCCTTAAGAGTCATCTTTGCCTGATGGTTTGATCATTTTTTCTCCGGGGAAGAGACAAAATCAACTTGAATACAAGACGGTTTCTCGAAATCTTAGTGAAACAATATATTTCTTATCTCATGCTTGCTTTCTGTGAAAAAATACCATTTGATAATGGGGGATTTCAATTTTCTTCCAAAAGAAAAAGTGGCTGGGTCCTCTGTTTGATCAAATGATTTTGAACATGTTTGGGTAGAGAAGAACTCTTTGTTCAGCGTTACTTCTTTACAAGATTTTGCTCAATTTCGTATGTGGAAAAGCTGCCCTATATATCTTGCTTAATTGGGGAAGAACCGGTCTCTGTTGGATCAACACGAATTTCTACTAATAAATAGGAAAGAAGGAAACTTAATATGATTAAGCTTACGTTTTCTCTTTTTGCCTTTGTCACCAATCTTTTTGGCGGCTGAATATTTTGTCTTTTGCTTACAGTGTGGCATGTATTAAGCTTGAAGAATTCCAAACTGCTAAGACAGCGTTGGAAACTGGTGCTTCTTTGGCACCGGAAGATTCGAGGTTTGTTAACTTGATTAAGGAATGCAATGAGCACATAGCAGGTAATCCTTTGTTGTCTTTAAGTCGATTGCTTGGGCTTTGGTACTGTTGTTGTAGTAAAAACTTGTTTGTCTCGTGTAGCAATTGAGGTCTATTTTAATTATAATCATAAAAGTGATCACTTTTTGGTAACAAATTGAAACTGAATTCTGTTTTGTTTAGTTTTTTCCTCTTGAAGTGGATTGTTCGCTGTGGCCGTTAATTTTACTTGATTAAATCTTTGTTTTCATACCCCACGAGTTCAAGTTTTATAAAATTCTACATAGCTGTTTGGTTGTGGTTAAGTTGAGTCCCTGATGATTAAATAAACC